AGGGTCAGGGTCAGGGTCAGGGTCAGGGTCAGGGTTAGGGTGGTGCTGGCCGTGTGGCCCACTCACGTGCTGGCTCCCGGCCAGGTCCCAGCTGTAGTTGCTGTACTGGTGGATCATGCACTCCGACTGCTCTCGGAAGTGCTGGGCCGAGGAGTTGCTCCACCAGTCTAGCATATTGCCGTTCTTGTCAAAGTTCCGGCCTGGGCGGAGTGGGGCAGAGGCAGACTGTTCCTGACCCAGCAGAGGCTGACCCAGGCCCACTGTTCCTGCAGGTCCTCCAGCCCAGCATCTAGGGCTCACAGTTCTGGACCAGGGACTGAGCCCTGAAGAACCTTGCCATGCTCCAGGGGTGCCCAGAGACGGAGGGTACAGTGGTTTCCTCGCCACCCCAAGGTCAGGGCTTGGAATCTCGGGTCACAGAGACATTGTGGCTCTGGAGGCCTCCTGTGATGGCCGAAGTTTCTACACCCAGGAGAGGGAGCACATGGCCCTGGGACACAGGGCTGGGTCCCGAACGTGGTGGTAGGGCAGCCCCTCCCAGGGGTGGAGGTGGACTAGGGCCAGGAAGGGGAAATGAGCACAGTCAGGGGACTCTGGGGGGCAGAATCCAGTCTTTGTGCCCTTGTGTCCCCATGCCCACAGCAGTTCTCTGCACAGGGCCTGGGCTGCAGCTCCCTGGGGACCCCTGCATGCTGGCCCCTGTCCCCCTAAGCCATGAAGAGGCTGGGGCACGTGTGGCTGCAGGTGCAGCTCTGATCTGGGCCGCCCCCGGCACCCCTTTACCATTGTCATCAAAGCCATGCGTGATTTCATGCCCGATCACCATCCCAATGCCCCCGAAGTTCAAGGCCTGTGGCTGCTCCTTGCTGAAAAACGGTGGTTGGAGGATCCCGGCGGGGAACACTGCCAAGGGGCAAAGAATCAGCTGGGAGTGGGTGCACTTGTGTGCCTGGCTCAGGCAGGCCTCTCCAGGAGTCCAGTCATCTAATCTGGACTGGGGGTAGATGGCAAGACCCCACCCCACATACAGATGGCAAAACTGAGGCCCAGAGGCCAAGAGGGCAGGCTAGCGTGTGGCAGCCCCGTGAGCCTCGTCCAGCTTCTTCCTACCCCTCTGTGCTGGCCTCAGGAACAGCTCCTCTGCTGTACTCGGTCCCTCCCCACAGGCACAGGAGGGCACCCAAGGGACGGGCAGTGGGGCAGCTGGCTCCAGGAGGGGTGGGGTGTGAGCCTACCGATCTGGTTTCGGTTCGGGGAGTAGAACGCGTTGACCACTGCGGCCCCAATGATCCAGCTGCGGTGCATACAGTGGTCACCTGGAGCCCGCACCTCCCGGGACACTCCCTCCATGCCGCGCTGCCTGGTGTCGCAGTGGCCACTCCAGAGCAGGTCCTGTGCCATTCCCAGTCTCTGGGGACCCCGTGGGAGGCGGCTCCAGCCCACGGAGGCAGAGGGTACGGGGGACTGTCACGGCCCCACACCCTCCCCAGCCAGCCACGAGGCTGCCCCTGCCACGCCGTTCACACCACTCACAGATTCTGGTCCACCTTTTTCCGAAGCTTCCTGAGGCTCCTGTGAGCGCTGGCCTTGAGGTTCTGCAGTGTGTTCTCGAAGTACAAGTCCTCCGAGAAGTTCAGCTATGGGAGAAGGGCCGTCATGACCGGTGCCCGGGCAGGGTCCTCAGAAGCAGCCTGAAGGGTCTGGGATAGGTGGATGGGGTCGCCCTAGCTCTGAACAAACTCCTTAGTCCCTCCAGGCCTGTTTCCCCGTCCGTAAACTAAGGCTGATGCCACTGGTGACCCAGGAAGGTGGCTGAGTTGGTGACTGGGCAGATGCCAGGTGCCTGGCACAGCGCCCCTCCCAGGTCGTCAAAGGCCTGCTTCCCCGGGGTGGCTCAGGGCAGGGGAGACCGGGGTGCGAGGGGTGTGGGGCAGGGAGGGCGGAGCTCTGGAGGGGCGGTGGGGGGGCGCGCACGCTGGAATACTCCTGGTCCAGGCGCCTGTTGCTTTCCTCAAGGATGTAGGTGGGGTAGCCGACCTGCTCCTGGATGCTCATGGCCTGAGGAGGAGCAGAGAGCTGGGTGGGAAGGCTGGCACTGCGCACGGTGTGTGTCGGGGGCTAGGGGACCACCCTGGGCCACTGCAGAGCCGGACAGAATCCGTGACTGCTATTATTTGTCCACAGGTCTTGCAGGTCCCTGGGTGCTGGGGTCCCTGCCCCCCATACCCATTGGGGCCATGACTGCTGGACTTGGTGGATGCCCCACACCTCTATTTGCAGGGCTCCGCAGGCACTGGCTCCAGCGCCTCTGCAGCTGCCAGGCCCTGCCAGGCCCACTCACCTTCTCCTGGGCCTTCTTCTTGGATTCCTCGTCCATCCAGCCCAGCTCGTCCAGGGTCTCCACGAACATGGCCTGCACCTTCTTGATGAGCTCTCTGACCTGAGGGCACGCGCGCCCTTGAATCCGGGTATGGGGGTGACCACCCTGCTCAGGGGCCTCATCCTGGGTCTGCCTGCCCTGGAGTCACAATGTGTGCAGCCTGTGCTCCTCCCAGGTGGGCCTGCAGGGTCCAGGGCCTGATGGCTGGCTGGGGCCAGGGGTCAGAGATCTTCCTCTGTCTGGTGGGCCTGCCTGGGCCTGACCATGGGGGGCTGGCCACAGGGGCTGCTGTGCAGCTGGGTCCCTGTGGGCTGGCGGTGGATGGGGCGCCTGGCCCCCGGAAAGCAGGGACACCCACCATGTTCTTGCTGTCCCCGGGGAAGGCCTCCTTGACATACAGGGAGCCCACGGCGCTCTCCATGTTGCTGTTGACGTAGCCGACGCACTCCCGCCAGCGCACCTCCTCCACCGTGGTGCCGTACAGCACCTGGCAGGCCGTTCAATTAGGTGCTTCACTCATTCCTTCCACCACATCACCTTCCTTGGTCTGTGTGGGGCCCACCCCATCCTGGGCCCCAGGGTGTCCAGGGTCAGAGGGGACAAGGGTTCTGGCGGAGGCTCCTCCCCATGCTGCGACTTGGGCCTCTATGCTGGGAGAGGCGGGGTGGCTCCTCCTGGGTCCCTGTCCGCCCCCTTGACCTGGTTGGCTGGGCTCTGCCCCCAAGGTCCAGGCTGGCACTGCCCCAGAGCAGTCACCCTGGCCACTAAGCTCCGCAGGCCTGGCTTCCCGTGGATGGAGTGGCAATAAGAATGCCTGCCTGTCTGTCCCCAGGATGCACAGGGACAAGACAGAAATGTCCCCATCAGATGTGATCCTGCATCTGTGCCCGACCTTGGCTGCAACCCATGCTCATGCCAAGCATCAGGGACCAAGCAGTGGGCGGAGTCTCCTCTGAGCCCTCACCTTGCGGTAGTTTACCCGGGCATCCTTGAACCGCTGGCTCAGGCTGCTGATGCGATCCAGCACCAGGCGCCAGACCAGATAGTTCTGCATGGTCCTGGGCAGGAAGCAGCACGGGGTGAGCACTCTCTGTGAGTTGGGAGACCAGGGTCCACCCATCCCCCGCATGCTTGGAAGGCCCCAGTCTCTAGTGCAGGGCTCACGGTCATCAGTCACCTCCACGCCCCTCAGCCCTGGGGTGACTGGGAGGCTCCCTCTCCTGAGGAGGTGAGCAGGGGTGGGGAGAACAAATATGCTGAGGCCCCGCGGGACGCCCCCAGCCTCACCTGGCCGAGTAGAGGTCGATGATGTTCTCGAGCTTCTCCAGGTAGGGGATGCCATAGACCACTACTTCCTCATTGGGCAGCAGCTCGATTTTGACGGAGGACAGCACAGTTTGTATGAAGAGAGTCCAGTTAAAACCCTGAAGATGAAGGGAGCGGAGACAGAGGCAGAAAAGTCCTGAGTGTCTGAGAAACACAAGATTTCCAAGAATACTCAAGAAATGGGAGAGGCGTGGGTCAGGGGAAAGGTGGGACAGTTCTGCGGGGTTACAGACTGGGAATTGAGAGGAGTGTATGCTGGGAGATCTGAAAAGTTAAATGTAACTCGGGTAATTCCTGCAAAAACACAGCTTAGCAAAAACGACCAAAGAGGTAGAAAGTATAAGTAGTCTCATGGACTCAGTAAGCTGAATGTTTAATTTGAGACGCTCCCACAAAGAAACTTCCAGGCCCGTTGGGTTTTAGAGTTACTGTACTGGTATCTGACATTTAAGACAACTCACCTCCAAGCTTACTCAAGAGTTTCCAGAGAGAAGAAAAAGAAAATTCTTCCAACTTCCTCAATGAGGCCAAGAATAGGGACATCGTATAAAAAATGAAAATAATAGCCAGTCTCTTTATGCCTGTAGGTACAAAAATTCTAAGCAAAATAGAATCAGCAAATAGAATTTGCCTAAACCAGCAGAGAATGGCTGTGCATTACAGCAAGTTAAGTTTATTCAAGGAATATACGTTTCAGGTCATAGTGGGGAATCAATTCAGTATCAGTCAGGAAGATAACTGAATAAAAGAAGAAAATAGTACGATGACTTCAATAGATGCAGAAAAGGCGTTTAATAAACTCTGCTGTCATTCGTGTTAAAATCTTTTGGCAAACTAATAGTCCAGGAGATCTATAATCGGAAAAAGGGACACAGAACACACTTTACACCGACATGGGCTCCAACTGGGTGGAGTTCAAGGCCGCCCCTGACTCCGGAAGGACATGACACCCACAGTCCCAGTCAGCACAAGATGAGAAAACACAATAAACCAATGAGATGAGACAGGAAATAAATAAAAGTGCTGTTTTTCACAAATGACAGGGTTTTGTGCATATAAAATCTGAAGGTATCTACAGATGCAGCTTTAGAACTATAGAGTTGAGTAAAAGTCTACATGCTCCCAACAAACAATAAAAAGATACATTCCAAAATGACACCATATTCAATAGTATAAAACACTTAGGAATAAATCTTATAAAAGCTGTGTGAGACCTTGAAATTGAAAACTGAAAAACTCATTGAGAGAAATTAAAAGATCGATAATCGGAAGTAGATCATGACCACAAGACTCAGTGTTGGAAGGCGCCAGTCTTCCTCAAATGCATGGAGATTCGCAGCAATTCCTGTGGAAGGTCCAGCAGGTTTTTCTGAGGAACTGGCAAGCTGATTTCAACGCAAATGCAAAGCACCCAGAACAATCCAGTCATGAAGAACAAAGCTGTGAGGCTTGACTGTTGCTGTCGCGACTTACTAGAAAGCTGTAGTAGTAGTGGACAGACCACATGGACAGACCACGAAACAGAACCACCCTGGAGAACACAGCCACACGGCCACACTTGATTTACACAAAGACAGCACATGGCCAATGGATAAGGAGACCTGATCAGTAAATGGTGCTGGATTACCTGAAATCCGTAGGAAGGAACAAGACAATCCTGATATTGCCTTGTACACGCAAAATCAACTCTTGGTACCTCGTAGACCTGGACACCCTTGAGGTAGGAAAAGACTTCTTAAATGGAGCATAGAAGACACTTAACCACAAAGAGGTAGCTGTCTTTGATAAGACGATAAATTGGACCATTAAAAACCTCCTTGGAGACAAAAGAGCCATGATGAGGAGAACCAGCTGCATAGTGGGGAGGACACCGTGCATGTCAGCGGACCACAGGCTGCATCCTCTGGAACAGTAAGAACAAGGCAGGCAGCCGCCTGGACAAGAGGACAAGAGACTTGAACAGACACTTCCCAGAGGAGACAGCCCTCTGCCTAACGATGAGAAGTGCGAGGGTGATCGAAATATACAGGGAGCGTTTCAATTTTAAAAGGAGCCTCATAAAAACATGATGCTGCGTGCTCATCCCCCTTATTCACTGATCTGTTCCCATGTGACTGCTGGATCGTCCCCAAAGTCAAATGACCTTGAAAAGTCAACGTTTTGAATTGATTCAGGACATCGAGGCAGCTAGGGCAGTAAAATTAGACACTCAGGAAAGAGAACTCCAGAGCTGCTGCAGAAAGTGGCAAGAATGATGGGATGAGTTAGCGTGGAGGGGAAGGATTTCGAGGAGGCTTATTGGCAGTGTGCCTGTTACTGTAGTAAATTAAAAAAAAATTGAAACATTCTCTATTTTTCTATTTGCTCAGCCTCTCTGGCCTCGGGGAAGCTGAAGTGAGCCCAGATGGGTGCCCCCCATGTCCCCTAGAAGGGCTAAGGTGAGAAGAGGCGGTGCCACCAGGCCCTGGCAAGGCCACGCCACACACCATGGCCGGGGCTGTAAGACAGTGGGAGGGCCTGTGTGTTGAACGTCCACACCTCTACCTGGCAGTTTCACTCCCAGTGGGCACAGGCAGAACACTGCCATGCATGGCCCCAAAAGCCAGGAACCAGGATGAACCAGGCAGCACTGCTCAGCAGTGCCCAGAACTGGGGCCCACCCGGGGCCTGATCTCAGAGGTCAGGGACACAGCTGCTGCATGTTCTCAGACCTCAGTGCTAGCAGCCACCAAACTGGGGGAAGGACCGCAAGATGTCACAGTGTGCATGGGTCTGGTCACAGGGCCAGAGCAGGAGCCTGGGGCAGCAGGTGCCCGGAGGGAGGAGGGATGGGTGGCTCGGGGAGGAGGGCAGAGGCAGTGATGGGAAGCACCGGCGCTCTGGGTGCCAGCAGCCATGAGTCTTGGCCTGAGCAGTGTGGTACAGGTGGCTCACGCCCCCGATCCAAGGCCCAGATGCCCCACCCACCCTGTGTCCCTCCGCGGTGACTCCAGGGCTCGAGCCGTTCTCAACTTCCCGCATTTCGCCCATTCCCAGTCCTGTGGGTTCAACCCTCAAATACATGCAGGAGTCACCTCTCTCTGTCTCCTGGACCAGCTGCCCCACGCCCCAGCCAGGCTGGGCTGCAGCCCTGGCCATGTCCCGCACGCTCATCTCGGCAGCCTGGCCCTTGCGATCATGGGCCAACCATGCCCCACTTCTCCCCAAAGCTCCCCCCGGGGTCCACGCCTTCACACGACCCTCAAGCCACCTGGTCCACTGTTCCCTGTCTTCCTGCAGCAGCTGGCCTCTGGGCTGGGTCCAGGTTGGTGGGGTCCCCTGTCCTGTGCCAGTGTGCTCCTGTGCATGCCCCAGGGCTAAGGTGGCACCTGCCCAGCCTTTGCCACCCGAAAACAGTTCATAGCCCCTGAGTTTTGGTCTCCTGATAGCCCGGGTCACCAGCACACCTCATGGAGGATCAGGTGGTACCCACTGTGCTGTCCAGCCTCACTGTGTCTACTCTGGGCTTGGTGGTGGGGCTCCCGCTGGGGGCTCTGTGGCCTCGCTGGGGGCCCTGGGGCTCCAGTCGGCCTCTGAAAGGGTATGGGAGCCTCACCTTCAGGCTGAACCTGTCCTGGAGCTGCTGCAGGTCCATCCTGTGGTATAGTTCGGTGATATCTTGCCTCTCCTCTGGGGGTGTGGTGGCCTGTGTAGGCCAGGTTATGTGGGCAGGCAGCCGGGGCCTGGCCCTGCGACCCCCAGCCCCAAGCCCCGCCTCACGTTGGCCAGGTGAGTCTCCAGCTCCAGCACCTGCGCCATGTCCTCCTGCACCAGGTGGGTGTCCCCAGGCAGCTTGTTGTCCCTCCGCAGCATGGTGGCCACCGATGTCATGAACTGCAGGTAGGCGTCCCGCACCTGGGCCAAAGGGAGAGCTCTTTGGGGTGGGGTGGAGGACACAGAGCAGCCCTTGAACCTCGAGGCAGCCTCAGCCCACAGGACTGGGCCCCAGAGTGAGGGAGGGGAGAGAAACAGGAGCCCGCCCTGCCCAGGCCAGGTCCACCCGGCCCCACTCCTGACGAGCCAGGAGCTCCCTGCACCAGGCCTGCCCCAGACCCGGGGCCGAGTGCGCCAGGGCCCTGCCGGACAGCCCAGGCTGAGCTCCAGTCCCAGCCCTGCCTGCTGCCCAAGTGAGCAGCCTGAGCAGAGCTGCCCCAGGCTGACCTGCTTGTGGCTGGGAGTCAGCTCCTGGGGCCGCCTCCTGCCTGGGCCTCTCTTCCTTTGTCCTGGACTCCTTCCTGCAGCTACAGCCACCCTCCTGCTGGCTCCCCGGCCTGGGCCCGGCCTCTCCTGTGTGGCTGCCACCCTCCCGCTTTCCACACCGCTCACTGGTGCCCTTGGCCTTGCTGCCTGCTCTGTGCTCTGCTGTCTCTCGCACCCTGGCCCCAGCCTCCTTCAGCCCCATTTCTCCTCCCTGACTGAGCTCCATGTGCAGGAACAGAAAGCCAGAGAGCAGAGGCCTGGCTGCCCGGCGCGGATCTCTACAGGCCTTGGACCCTGGCAGTGTGCCCTTGGTTCTGAAGCAGGACTGAGAGAAAAGCAAGTCCTTCCCAGCCCCGGGCAGCCCACCCTCATCATCCCTGCTCCGCTGTAGCTGTCGCTCCTTGTTCTGGTACAGATAAAATTAACAGCCATGGCCTGCAAACAAAGTTCATGACACTGATCTTCTATGACTCGTAAGACACTGGCTTCCTTCAAGGTGAAGATACAAAACTGTCTGCCCTTGTCCTGTTCCAGTAAACTTACTTGCTATGTCATTAGAAAGATGTCCCCCCCGCCCCCGAGACAAAACGTACACTAGCTGGAACTTCTCTTTGTACAACGCTCAGCCACGTTGGACACAGTCCGCTGAGCCCATGTACACCTTGAATAACTCCTCCTGAGTCCCATTTGGTCTCTCCTGTCTCTCGGAATTCTGCATGGTGGGTTGGGGCCTGGCCAGGCTGCTGAAGGGATCAACCCGCAGGTGTGCACAGAGGCTGGCAGTAGGGAGGAAGGGCTGGTGGAGCGAGGGGAGCACCGGGGCCTCAGTTTACCTTCTGGTTGCTGCCCTCCTTGATGTAGTACTCCTGGGACGGCATGCCCAGCGTGGGCTGGTCTATCTGGAAGCACAGAGGTTGGGACCCTAGCAAGGGCCAGGAGTCCCTGCAGTCTGGGAGAAGTGCAGCCCCTGGGATCCCAAGCCCTGCCTTGGTTGATGGGGACAGTGCAAGGCTGGAGGATGGGACTTAGGGGAGGTTGGTGAGGGGCTGCACAGCACTCCTAGCCCCCTAGAGTAGTCTCCATGTGTTTCCCTGGCCTTCTAGCTATGGCCAGTGTGGCCCTCTGAGGTCCAAGGGCTGCACTGTCCACGAGGATGAGGCTGGCCACTGGGTCACCTTCTGACCAGAGCCCAGGCCATAGCCCACCGAAAGCCTGATCAGCAGCCTGTCTTGGCCCCTGATGTGGACAAGGAAGAGCTCAGGAAGCCAAGCCCAGGACCCCACTGAGCTCACCAACCCCACCGCCAGTGCCCTGGCCCATTCCCGCTGTGTGCAAGGCCCTGGCCAGGTGCAGGCCCCGGCTAGGTGCAGGCCCCCTGTGGTGCATACGTAGATGATGTGGCGGCTGGAGTTCAGGTCGTCATTCCACACGAAGAGGTCGATGAGGACCCGCCGGTTGAACTGTGTGTTCATCACCGCCAGCTGCCGCTCCAGCTCCCACGTGGGGCCTGGGGAGCAGCACCCAGCTGGGGCGACTGAGGTCTCGGCCTGGCCCTTCCTGGCCCATACATCGACTCCTCAGCTCAGAACTAAGGTGTATAGGACCCCAGCCCGCTCAGGGCGGCTAGGTCCTGGGAGGCCTTGGAGCCTAGGGCAGGGAGACACACTTCCCGAACAGCCCCCAGAGGTGCCTACAGGTGTGGGGGCCCCAGCCACTCTGCCACCATTGGCCAGAGCTGCACCAGGGCCTTGGAGTCCAGGGGTTCAGGAGGGACCAGTCACAGTGAGCCCATCCCAGCAGCATCAGTGGCTCAGCCTGGGGCCGGAGTTGGCTCCTGCCACCCTCAGTTTGGCTCTGACAGGGATGAGGCTTTTGGGGCTCCCTGAGTTCCGAGTTCTGGCAGCCAGACGTGGCCAGCTGGCTCAAGTTGGGTGGGCTGTCTCCGCTGCATGGCCTGGGCCCCTGTAGCCTTAGGGCTAGCAGCCACCTGTGTGCAGGCTGCCACCAGACCTGGCCTTACCTATGGTCTGGTTCCACTTGTCCATGGCCACCGGCCAGCCTCCCACCACCGCCAAGACGTCCAGAAGGGGCTGAGAGTCTCGCTTCTCTATCATGCCTGAGAAGGGGCACAGTGTCACTTGCTAGGCCCTGGGGGCCACGTGCCACACTTAATAGGAACTAAAGCCCTGGAAATCTGCCCCGCACAGCCCACATCCACACATATCCGTGTGTGCATTTACACATACACAGACATGCACCGAGACATATAACACAACACACACACATCCATATACACACACGTGCACACACCCACACAGTATACACAATACACACAAGCTCATGCACATACCTGCGTATACACAATACACATAAACACAAGCCTAACACAGTATACCCATGAACACATGTGCACAAACACACATCTGCATGTACATACATGCATATCACTTTGGTTTGCATCAGAAAAGTTCCCCCAAAGGCTCATGTGTCGGGGGCCAGGGTTCTGGAAAATGATTAGACCTAGGGGCTACACTCAGGGATGGAGTGACCCACGGACGAGGGCACAGGGGAGTGTGCGGGAGGTGGAGCCTGGTGGGGGAGGCGGGTGATGGGGCAGGACCTGCAAGGGCCTGTCTTGTTCCCATCCCTTCCTCTCTGCTTCCTGGTCACCGCGAAGTCAGCAGCTTTTCTCCACCATGCCCTTCTGCCATAATCATTCCTACCACGGACCAAAGGCTCTGAAACTGTGAGCCAAAATAAACTTCTTCCCCTTTGTTTTTCTCAGACATTTGGCCACAGACATGGAAAATACGCACACATACACAAACACAACGTAGCACGCACACATAAATACAACATAGTATACACACATACACACACAACATAGCACACACACAACATAGTACACACACAACATAGCATGCACACTTACCCACATAACATAGCACAGACACATACACACAACATAGCATGCACACAATATGGTACACACAACATAGCACACACACACCACAGTACACACACACACAACACAGCAGGTACACTTACACACACAACATAGTACACACAACATAGCATGCACACACATACAACATAGCATGCACACATGCACAGAACACAGTACGCACACATACAACAACATAGCATGCACACATACACACAACATAGTACACACAACATAGTATGTACACACACACACACCACAGTACGCACGCATATCCATGTACCCTCATGCACATCCAAGTGCACACACACACAACACAACATAACATACACATGACAGATAAACACACATCCATGTGCACACACACACATGTGCACGCTTGCCCTGGGCTCCTGCTTCTTGCTGCTTCCGCTGGCTTCCTGCTGCCCGAATGGAGCCAGGCCTGGGTGTGAGGTTGCGGGCAGCTGGCAATCTGTGCACACCCGTAAGCAGGCTGGCCCCGTGGCCAGGTGGGGGCCCTGCACACAGACCCTGAGGCCTGGCCCTCAGCAGCGCCCTCCCACCCCGTGCCTCACTCTGGTTCATGCAGGAGCGGTACAGCAGCTTCGCCTTCTCCACGGCTGGCCGGGACTTGGCAGTGGAATTCTCCAGCACCCCTGTAGGCAGAGGCTGGGTGTCTGCGGGAGGCCCTGGTCCGTGGTCCCTCCCTGCTGCCGCTGGGCCTGTATCTCAGGCATCCCGGGCTCCTGCCCCAAGTCCTGGAGTCTGCTGGGCCCAATGCCAACCCCGCCTGGCCAGCCAGCCTGACCTGAGGCCCTGATCCCACCTTTGAGGATGACCTCCACCTCGTTTCGGAGGATATCGAAGACGCTGTAGTGGGAACTGGTCTCAGGGATCACATGGCGCCGCAGCCAGCCCCCGCACGCGTACTGGTAAAAGTTGCTGCACGGTTCCGTGGACGGGTCCATGTTTTGGAGGATCCTGGCAGCTGCTCGCCCGGGCGGGGCAGAGGAGAAAGAGGGCAGAACGAGCTGGAGACAGCCCGATGCCTCGCTGGGCTCAGACACAGTGTCCCGATTCGGGGATGGCTGTGGGAGACTCGGGCAGCTGTGTGCCTGAGGGAGAGTCAGTCGCCCTCTCAACCACAGTGGGCTGGAAGCAGGGGTGGGCGCCCAGCTAGATTCAGGCGCCAGGGCTACAGCTTCCTAATCCGCGGGCTCAGAGCCTCATTTCCCAGGGCACCAGCATTCAGACCTGGGGACCAAGGTGGCGGTGGGGACGGTCCCTGCCCACAGGATGTGCCTGGCTCACGGTGACCCGGCCCTGTGAGCTGCATCCGGCCCCTGGCTGCCCCCAGCGCACAGCAACAGGACAGTGTGAGGGTGCTGGTGCCCGGGGGAAGGGATCCGGCTCACCGACTGGGGTCTGTCTTCTGCCAGGGGTGGCTGTGTCCCAGGACCCAAGAGAGCGGAGGTTCTCCACTGACCGCTCTTGGCTGGGGTGGTGGGGCTGGACTCCCCTCCCTTGTAGGACCTCCACCAGGGACCCCCACCGGCCAGACCCGCAGCCCTGCTCTGCTTGATTCAGTCCTGCCCACTTTGAGGCTGGGGACCGGGCAGAAAGCAGCGTCCCAGACGCCCGGCCAGCATGGGCAGAAAAACCACACCGAGTCCCCACCAGTTTCTCCCCCTCCCACTGCTGTCTGCAATCTGCAAAGGGCAGTCTGGGCCCGTTTTAGACAAATTCCTGGGAAGTTCCTGACTGCGGGCCTTTCCTTCGGCAGCCACAGGGCTGAGCTGCACGGGGTGGGGGGGGTGGGGGGGCGGACAGCAGGGGACCGAGCCTGGCCTCCGGCAGGGCTGTCGCAGCCGGGAGAGCGCTTACCCGCCACCACGCAGCCAGGGCTGGTGCAGACCTCTTCCACCCGCGTGGGCTTCCGGAGGGCTGCGGGGAAACTCAGTGTGAGCGCGGGGGTGGGGGGCGCAGGTGGGCGGGCGGGGCCTCAACGTGGGGGGCGGGACCTAGACCTGGTAGGCGGGACCACAGGGGGCCTCGACCCCGCCCTTCTCCATGGACTCTCTGAGCACAGCCTGGCACCCCAGGGTGGGGTCTTGGGGGACCCTGAGCGCCCATCTTACTTGCAGTCGGCCTCCACAGACTCTACAGTGGCCAGGCCTTGAGGGCTGAGGCTGCCCATGCCCTCCCGCCAGGGGCCGTCTTCTCCTGGCTCTCCCACTCTTCCCTCACCCTGCCTGCTAGTTGGAGTCTTGCCCAGCAAGTACCCATCCTGCATCCGGCAGGTGCTCAGGCTGGCGCCCTGCCCCGACTCCCTGCCCCCTGCCCCTCCGGTGCACACAGAGGGCTCCCTGTCCTTCCACGGAGCCCCCCAGGCCTAGTGACCGAGTCCCCCTCCTTGGGCTGCCTGGCAGGGAGGCGAGGGATATCTCGGGACTCTTGTTTTACAACGGTCCTCTCTTCCTGTAAGGAGGACAGCCAGCTCGTAAAGGGGGGCAGCTGCTTCCCTGGGGAGACACACAGCACTCAGCTGGCCTGAGGGCCCATGGGGACTCCTTGGGATGGCACAGGGCTCCCTGCAGTGCTGGGTGCTGCTCCCCACCCAACGGCCAGGCTGGTCACCAGGGAACCCAGACGCCGGATGGCAGACCTTGGGTCCTGCTCTGTCTGCTTCATGCTAAGGATGACCGAGAGGCTGAGGGGCCCTGGCCAGCCCAGCTGCCAGGGCCGGACCCTTAGGTTGGCAGCTCCTGGCGTCCCTCCAGGGAGGGCACAGTGGCTCATATAGGGAGAAACGTGGCCTTCCCAGGCAGATGACCTAGGCAACCCGGTCCCCAAGTCCTGCACCCTCGCTGTTGCTAAAGGTTCCAGCCACTCTCCTCATCGCTCAGCATCAGGACCTCTGGGGCAGGCTGTCAGCTGCCTGGAGGGGATGTGGGGCGCAGCAGGAGGAGGAGGAGGAGGGGGACCTCAGAGGGCCACACCCCTCATGGAAGCAGGCCTAAGACGTGCGTCCCCCTCCAAAGGTGTGACAAGGGCGGAAGGGGTTTCTGTGGACAGTGGTCCTCACCAACTCTCACCACACCAAGGCGAATGAGCTGGAGAAGCCACAACATTAGAATTTGCAGAAACCACCCCATCTAGAAAGGTCTGGGCCCTTCCCATGAGAGCAGAGGTCTGAGGTGCATCTCAGCCCCGCGCTGGTGCACCAGGAGGGGTTCCCAGCACTGCAGGGTGGGCCCCGAGCTGGAGAAGCCTTCACCACCTGTGCCCCTGCACAGGAGCCGGGGCAAGAGCTGGGTTCCGAGGAGCTGGGTTCTGAGGAGCCAGGTTCTGGGGGTGTCTGCGCCACCTGAGATTCCTTCCCACCAGGCCCTCAGGTGGGGCGGAAAGCTGTGAGCAGTCTCCCCACAATGAAGAAAACCCAGAAGAGTCAAGAAGTGGGCTTCTGACAGTCCAGCTGTTACAGCCACAGAGAAGTCTGCAATGGCTGTGCTACTAAGTTACACAGTCTCGCTGAAAAGGTGGCAGGCATATATCACTGCTGAGTGGGTTTTGCTAGACAAATGGAAACGACAGGAAAGACCAGACTGGAAATGCAGCATAAGTGAAGGATTTGTGTTGTAGGTGTAACAAAACAGCCAACACCCCAAAAGAAAGGATCAGCAGTAGTCTGAGTGCAAATATGTGATAGAAATACATGGCGAGTGCTTAAATTTAAAAACAACTATTACTTAAACTACACATTGCTATGAATCCTCCTCAATACCGTGCCCTTTGCTTCAGATACACTTATCTCATCATTCTTGTCACGTTGTGAAGCAGTTCTGGAAGTCCTTCTTCCTGAGTGTCTTTACAGAGTATGATAAAAAATATGGTGAAGGCTACTGCTAAGTGCCATCCGACAGAACGGCAGCTCCTAAAAACATCACACTGTGTGCTCAGCCACCTTCTTCAGTGGGTCTGGCACTGTGCAACTGCTGGTTCTCCCTCAAATCAAAACAACTAGGAAAGGTAAATATTTCAATTGATTCAGGACATTGAGGCAGCTACAATAGCACAACTAAAGACACTCAGGAAAGAGGACTTTCAGAGGCAGGGGAGCTGAGTGTGGAGGTGCACGCCTGTGATCCTAGCACTTGGGAGGCTGAGGCAGGAGGATCCCTGTGAGTTGGAGCCCAGCCTGGGCTACATAGTGAGACCTGTCTCAAAAAAAAAGAAAGAAGAAAGAAGAAAGAAAGAAAGAGGCAATAATGATGGGATAAGTGTGTTAGAAGTGAAGAGGAGGATTATGAGGGGGATTAATAGCAATATGACTTTTATTGTAATAAATTTTTTTAAAGTTTTACATATTGACTATATTTTTGATCACATCGTATAGATCAGTATAAATTACCCAAATTGAAACACAAAGGGAAGAAAATTAACCAGAACAGAGGGAAACACAGGCAGAGACAGAGCTCACATCAGGGTAAGCATGGGCTACTCCCCTAAGATTGGGACAAGGCGAGGATGTCCTCCCTCACCCCTCCTGGTCAGCATCACGCTGGAGGCCCCACTGGCTCAATGAGACGAGAGGAGTAGAAGGTAAACATGAACAATTTACATATAAATCTAATAAAATATGTATGTGGAAAACTATAAAGCGTCAATTTAAAAAAATCTCATACATGAATAAATGGAGAGACATTTTATGTTCATGGATTAGAAGACTAATGTTCCTAAAAGGTCAGTTCTTCTCAACATAGCATGTACATTTAACAGCGCTCTGATCAAGTCCCATATCAACAAGCAATTCTACAGTTTGTACACAAAGGCCAAGCCCTAGCACAGTCAAGGCCACAGTGAGAAGGGTGGAGTTGGAAGAATTACGTGTGATCGCAAGACTCCTGCATGGCTACAGGTCAGCAAGAGCGTGGGGCACTGACACTGAAGAGGGTCGTAGAAAACAGGTCAGTGGGCAGGCGGGGCCCACAACAGGTGCACACAGTCCAGCAGCCTTTGCCAAAGCCAAAGCAAGGCACCGAGAGAGGCGTCTCTCCCACGGGTAACACTGGGACAATGACACCAGACACACAAGCCTCACACTTCACGCAAAAAATTAACTCACGATGAAGCACAACATGAGCACAGTACACAAAGCCACAAAGTATCTGAAGCAAACACAAAAGAGCATATATGTGGACTCAGGAGTGGTAATGACTTTCAAAATGTGACACGAACAGGGCCGAGGGTTTAGCTCAGTGGTTCCGCCGCCTGCCTTGCAAGCGCAAGGACCCGAGTTAGATCCCCGGTACCAAAAACCAAACCAAAACAACAGCAACAACAACAAAAAGTGACAAAAATAGTATGACTGGAAAAAAGCAAACAATGGATACTAAGTGTTAGTAGAGTTAAAAACTTCTGCTCTGTGAAAGACCCACTAAGAACAAAAGGATAAGCCACAAAGTGGAAGAAAAGATCTGCAAGCATTTATCTGACAAAACATTTTTTTTTTGGTACCGAGGATTGAACTCAGATCCTTGCGCTTGTGCAGCAGGCGGTGAAACCACTGAGCTAAATCCCCGGCCCTGACAAAAACACTCTTATCCAAAATGTATGAAACACCTCAAACTCAAAAAGGGAACATACAATCTAACTGGGAATGGGTAAAAGTTCTGAAAAAGATGCCTCCTCAAAGAAAATGCACAGTGGGGAGAGAAGCACACGAGAAGATGCTTAGCACATTTGCCACTGTGGAAGTGCAAATTCAGAACACAGTGAGACGCCACCACCTGTCTGTAGAGGGACTAAATTAAAGACAGACTGGAGAGGCCCACACTGGCAAGCGGCAAAGCCGGAGGACTCCTCACTGCTGTGGGAATGCAAAACTGTTGGTCACCTCAGCAGACGGCTGTTACAACATTAAGCATAATGTGATCCAGCAATCACGCTGTTATATCGCGAGGGTCAGGCGAGACAAGGAAGGAGGAGAGGGTAACTCATGCTCAGTTTACTGAGGATGTTGAGGGTGCACTAGAAACGTTTGCACACAGGTGAGTGTCACACACACACACACACACACACACTCCTCCTGACTCCACCAGCTGACAGAGACTGGAAGCTACCACGTGCCAGGAATGGCAATGAGTATGGCTGCAGGCAGATCCTGGCTTAATTCTGTTATCCAATAAAGGTGACCAGGGCCTTCGGAACAATGGCCAAGTTTACAACTGGGACAGAAGTACACAGGATGAGCTTGGGGTATGTCATAGTGGCAAAAAATGAGAGTGCTAACTCTCATCTCTAGAAAACCCCAAACCCACGATGATGGAGGAATGACAAGGGTCACAGAAGCCAACCAGCTGAGAGCTCCCAATGGTAGAGTTAGAATCGTCCAAGTTGCAAATATAATAGTACTGGATTGTAACCCAAAATATAAAATAAGCATCCATGCGTCCAAATTGATATAATCATAGAATAACTAAGGGAAAAGAGACAAATCCCTCACACAGAAGAATTCCAAACACTGCACGTGGACTGTCTGTCTGCCTACAGGGGTGTGAGGATAACGTCCCCACTCCTCGAGAGAATGCTGCAGGTAGCAACTTCCTCCCAAAGAGCACGGAATGCCAAGGAGAAAAGCACCTTTACAGTGCGGAGAGCTGACAAATGCTACTTCGAGCCAGGTGATCAGGGGACATCAAGAGTGAAAGCATGTGCCCTTGATCGGTGGCCCCTGCCTAATCATAAGAAAAATATCAGAAAAATCCTAATCAAGGGGCATTCTACAAAGTGCCTGCCCAATACTGTCAAGATCATGATGACAAAAGAAGGAAAATCTGAGGAGATATCACAGCCAACAGGAGCCCAAAGAGGCTTGACAACAAAATGTAGCAGGAGGAGGACACAAAGGGAAAATTGGGAAGTTTGAATAGTCTGGATTCTGT